TTGGCATGAGAGAAGCTGGAATGTCGTTAAGGCAGATTGCCCGACGCGTGGGCCACCACTATTCAACCATCAGCAGAATTGTAAGTAAACATCAAAATACCAATTCTGTGAAGGACCTTCCCAGATCTGGAAGACCTTCAGTAACTTCCGATCGTGAAAACAGAGCTCTTATCCGAGTTATTCGAAGAAACCCCTTCATTAACAGTACAGTATTGAAAAGACAGTGGTTTCCATATCGTGCACTCTCCTCAAGAACTTTGAGAAATCGACTCAAAAGGGCAGGATACCGTTCCCGAAGGCCCGTGAAAAGGCCATTGTTAACGCCTAGACACAAAGCTGAACGATTACGGTGGTGTCGAGCTCGTCGTCGCTGGAATTTGGTATCTTGGAGAAGGGTGCATTGGTCCGACGAAAGCAGATTTTTGTTGCATGTCACGGATGGCCGAGTTCGTGTTTGGCGGCAGCCAAATACCGCATATGCCGAAAGGAACATTGTTGAGACAGTCGCTTTCGGTGGTGGCTCCGTTATGGTGTGGGGATGCGTGTCTTATGACTGCAAGTTGGACCTGAAAACTGTTCGTGGTAACCTTAATGGGCAAAGATACCAGCAGGAAATCCTTGAGGCAAGTGTAGTGCCGCATTTTGACAATCACCCGTTGAGGACAAGGCCCATTTTCATGGACGATAATGCACGACCGCATCGATCGCGGGCTGTAACAGCGTATCTTCACGACGAGTCAGTGGAGACATTGCCCTGGCCAGCATGTAGCCCCGATTTAAACCCGATAGAGCACATTTGGGACATCATCGGTCTAAAAGTGCGAAAAATGACACCTCCTGTGCAAAATCTTGCAGAATTGGACAATGCACTGCACCATGAATGGCAACAGTTAACACAACAACAAATACGACGGTTATGTGGTGGTATGAGAAGGCGGCTGGAAGCAGTGATCCGTGTGAACGGAAGTTATACAAAATATTGAAATTTCCGGTTTAAATTGACAAAATGGACCAAAATGGGTGTGTTTGACATCAACTCGAAGTTGTCCGATGGAATTGGAATCGCGTAGACCAATAGTTGTAAACAGTGCATTTGTGCTCAAAAATGATGTCTTTTTTAAAATAAAATTTCGTATAATTAAATTTGAATTTTTCAGTGTTTAACATGTCTATCAGCTTTAAAAAGACCCAATTCACCCCAAACCTATGAACATTTAACCATATTTTAGAAAAAAATGGTACACGTAAGGTTTGAAATTTGTCTAATGGAAAAAATCAGGTGTTGCAATACTTTTTTCCAGGTGTATATATCGCGCGTCCGTGACATATAAATAACCGACAGAAAAGCGGAGCAAGTGTTGAGAACTTATCTTTATTAGAGTTACTTTCAGATAATGCCATTGTTCATCACCTATGATACTTTTTGATCAGAATCATTTCTGGGGTTTCCCATTCAAAAACAAAGACTTTGCCCTTTCATATTATAAAGAATGAATATCCTCTGTTCATTACTCCTCCTAAATCATTGGATGGATTTCTAAGATTTTCCATTCAAAAACTTATTATAAGGCATCAAAATCTCCCATCCGCAACTCTTTAACCAGTAAATGGATTTCATGCCAACTTTTACGAGTTCTTCATGACGTAATGCCCTAGACGACTTTCTAATTCGTGCATTTTCCCGTAAATATCCTATGTCACAATGGTTCTGTTATTACGTCACTGTAAGGACCGATCGATCGATGATTTCGTTTACGCATATTGACCTCGAGTCAACCGATGTTTTTCATTCAAAAAACATATTCGAGCTTGGTTTATTGTGCACCTCAAATTTTACTGTGATTGGTGGATCTGAAACTTTTTTTTGGGGTTTTTTTAACTAAAGGATGGACTTTTAATTGCCATTGCTTTATTTGTACAGGGGTACCCAGTTTGAATCCGCAACTTCTCCAAATAATGTTTGGGGTTCCCTTTCCAAAGCATGGACCTTGCCTTAACATTATTTGGGAGGTATCCAGCTTGTATCCGTAACTCCTGAACCCCTTATTATAATTTATTGAAGCTTACAATCTTAACCATATTCTTATATTTTGAACCTCCTATTTTGTTTTCGATTTGAATCATTTTTTATGTTAATCTAACCAGAGCATGGACCATTTCGTATCAGCAACTCTTTCTAAACCGCTTAATTACATTTCTTTAATCTCATAATATCACAACCATACACTGCTATTGTGCTCCCCTATTCTGTTTTTCAAATCAAATAGGTTTGGAGTTTATCTTAACAAAATATGATCTTTGCAAGTGGCAGGGTATCATTTTGTGAATTTTGGTCACAATACTTCTAGAATTTAAGATTGTTGTTACATATATTTCAATACATATACAAATCCCTGATCCACTGAAAATGTCTAAAGTAAAGTTTTGTGTTATTTATTGTAAGTATCTTTTACGATCTGCATAGGCTTTACCTTGACGTGTGATGCACTTGTGGAACTTGGAGATGGAATGATAGCTTTAACTATTGATGACATAGGTTCAATTCCAGACGAAGAAATCAGAAATTGCCTTGAAATTCTTGGAGGCGTTTCAACATGGAGTATTGAACAGAAGAGAGCTATTTTAGCTTTACTTCAAAAGCAAACGGTAATTAGTTATTTAGTTGAAAAGCAAACGATGAAATAGAAAAGAGCATTTGAAAAAGGTAAATGCAATATATGATACACATCCAAAGCTTTAATTCATATCTCTAAAGAATTCAAAACAAACTGGATTTCACACCAACAAACTACTTTTTTTCACAATGATGAATGAAAGAATCTGAAGATAAAAAAAGGAGAAACATGTAAAATAACAAACATACCGAACTGCAAGGAAAATTCAAAACGGAATTTTTAGTCACTTATCAAATGGAAAAATTCAAAAGCTCAAACACATCAAACGAATGGAAAACAACTGACTGGAGAAATGAGAGAAATTACAAGTTGATAATTAGCTATAGGTTACAGATAAGATCATGGCATATTTATACAAACAACAAAACAAAGAAAGCTCATTATTAAGAACCAGAACCTCTTTATTAATACTGTGGAGACAGTTTTCGTCCTTTTGTAAGAATACAGGTAATTAATGTTTCTTCAGTCTTATCTGTGTATTTTCTCATGAAGTAGATTTTAAAAATTTAAACGAGTATATAAGTGATCGAATTTGATGAAAAAACATGATAATGAATTTCCTTTTTCACCGTTTTTTCATCAGGTATTCGGAAATCCTGGAACATGGACCTCAGAGACATTAGCTTCTGCGGGTGATATCATTCAAGGAATGACCATCGATGAAATCAAATCATTACAACTTGATGTTGATGCAATGGAAGTATTAGGAGAGCAGGATGGTTGGATGGAAGCTCAGGTATACATTTATATTATATTTCGGAAACGTTCAGTAATACAGTTAACATTTAATACTTTTATCTTCTGTCGTTTCATAAATGCATAAATCGCACTTACTACATATGCACTTAGAATATAATCATACAAATGTCATTGTAATGGATAAAATTGCAAAAAAATATCACAACCGTAAGAAAAGGTGTTCGGCGCAAATGTGCTTGTCAAAATATCATCATTTATCTTACAACAAGAGAGCACACGCTTAAATGTCTCGCCTGCTTTGCTGATCATTGATTTTATGTTGATAGTCCTAAATATAAAGCTTTACGGTAAGTATCACATAAACTTAACATGATCCAAGAAAATGAGACCAAGTAAATAAAGGCAACAGAAGTATACCGGTGTTCAAAAGTCATAAATCGATTGAAGAGAGAATTTGAAATCGGAGAGAAAACAAATCCGGGTTACAAACTAAAACCGAGGGAAAGGTCAGATAAACCAAACCGGAAATACATGTACACCTTACAATCATTCCATACACAAAATATAGTTCACTTATTGCTTATAGTTTCTAAGAAACAAACATAACCAGGAAAATTTAACATTGACCAATGAACCATGAAAAAAAGGTCAAGGTCAGATGAACCATGCCAGACAGACATGTACACTTTACAATCAATCTATGCATTGAATATAGTTGACCTATTGCTTAAAGTATCCAAGAAACAAACTTAACCATGAAAATTAAACATTGACCAATGAACAATGAAAATGAGGTCAAGGTCAGATGATACCTGCCAGACAGACATATACACCTTACAATCATTCCATACACCAAATATAGTTGACCTATTGCTTATAGTTTAAGAAAAAACAGACCAAAACACAACAACTTAACACAGACCAATTAACCGTAAAAATGAGGCCAAGGTCAAATAAAACCTGCCAGACTGACATGTACATCGTAAAATATTTCCATACACCAAATATAGTTGACCTATTGCAAATAGAATTAGAAAAAAAGACCAAAACACAAAAACTTAACTTTAACCACTGAACCATGTAAATGTCAAGGTCAAGGTCAGATGACACCTGCCAGCCGGACATGTTCACCTTACGATCATTCCATATAGTATGTGAGATATGGACTTGACCACGAAAACTTAGACTTGTTCACTGATCATTGTCGAGGTCAGATGAAAACTGTCTGACAGGCATGAGGACCTTGCAAGGTACGCACATACTAAATATAGTTATCCTATTACTCATAGTAAGAGAGAAATTAACATTACAAAAAATCTGAACTTTTTTTTAAGTAATCACTGAACCATGAAAATGAGGTCAAGGACAATGGACATATGACAGACATAAACTTCATAATATAAGAAATCTATATACAAAGAATGAAGCATCCAGGTCTTCCAACTTCTAAAATATAAAGTTTTTAATTAGTTAGTTAATGCCGCCGCCGCCGGATCACTATCCCTATGTCGAGCTTTCTGGGACAGAAGTCGCAAAATCTACAAATTAACTTATTGCTATACTTCTAGTTAAAAGTTAAAAAATCATATTTCTGTCACTTAATCTCTGTTTATTCTGCAGAAAAAAGAAGCATTCCAGCGTTTCTTGGATTATTACAAAAATGGTCAGCATGCAAACGCTTTGAGTGGAGCAGAAATCAGCATTTTGGGCCACTTCACGTGTGGAATGACAACTGATCAGATAGCTACAATCCATCATACCACCTATTTGTAAATATTTATAGATTTTATTCATGTTTCGTCGTGTATTTTTTTAATTTCTGTCATTCACTAGTTCATAAATATAATCGTGTGGGTGTTTAACTTTGAATATAAAAATAAGAATATGCCGTATGGTGGCAAAATGAGACAACTACCAACCAGTGACCAAAGGACGATGTTGTAAACAACTATAGGTCACCGTACGGCTATCTTCAATAATCAGAAAAAGAACATAAGGTATAGTTAGTGTTAAAAGGCCTTGACATTACTAATTTTTTTTTTCGTTTTGAATTTCATTTTAATCTCTTGTATTTAAATGAATATGATACGATAAGATTCCGACTGGTTCCGAATGTTTTTGTTTGGTTCTGACATGATTCATTGGATATACCTGTATATTCATAGATAATAATACATCTAACAAGTATCCAATAAAAAAAGTTTAAAATAAATATCAAATGATAAATATACAAATCAATCCATATTTTGAATAACATCTATCCTTCATATTACTATAAATTGCCTGATGTGAAATGATGACTTATTCTGACCTGAGAAATTATTCATATGTAACATGACTAAAACTGCCTCTTTCAGACAAAGATCACCTTGACAGTGTTTTGTATGCTGTCCATTATATATTTTTACAATACCTTTTCACTGACGAAGGTTATCAAGAAAAGTGCTTCAAAAGATACTTAAAACACATTGAGTGTGTCTGGATGCTGATTTATACCATTACTACTTTTTCGTTTAAAATAAGTAGCACACAATTTAATCTCAGGTTAATTCAGTTGATTATATTTTCAGAAATGCGTCAGAAGCTATAGGACAAGTAACAAGCTGCAATGAACTACAATTTATTGAGTGGGCTAAACTTGCCAAATTAGCATTTGGTGATGATGTATCTACCTGGGATACGTCTACCATTCAGAGAGTTGGCACAGTAATTGGTATATTTTCATTTTATGAAATTTAAATGAATAAATCTATAAGATTTTTCTCTTGGGTATTAATGTATCCCTTTTTGTGTCCTTCTTTCACCAACGAAAATTACTATGCAATTAGTGATAACAGATTCATACTTTTGATGTTATTCATACTTCAAGGCGTCATGTTTCTTTATTGTTTATCGCATTGTTTATTTGTGTGTTCTATATTATGTAAACGTCAAATGTCAAATTCGCGTTACTGTTTTTTTCTCTGTTCATCTGAAGAGTTTCAAACAGTATTAAAAAACAAACAACAAGTTTTAAATTTGGAAGTAAAATATATAGGTTCTTTAATTTTTTAAGTACATTCTGCCTCCATTTCCTCAGGGAACTTGATTAGAAATAAGGAGATTCGACAACAAATTGGGCAGTTTTGTAATGTAAGCGTACTTCAAAAGACTTTCCTTGCATAATTGAAACATTAGTATCAACATTTTTAATTAATTTTTTAATTGTATTAACACTAAGCATGCTAAGGTTACAACTCCCTCCCGCAAAGTTGACTTAGGACAAAAAAACAGAGTTTTATTGCATAATTGAAATATTTGTATCAACATTCACAATTCATATCTTTAATTAAATTAAACTCTTTCTCGCCAAATTGACCTTAGACAATTTTGACTGTTCTGGTTTGGCCTTTAAATGTTTTTCCATATTTGACTTCCAAAACCTTCGGTTTCAAGATGTGAGGTAATCTAGAGAACTACACATCATCTTGGAGTTGCCTTTATATAAAAAAAAAGATATTGTCTTTTTACAGGGGGCCTTAAAGAAGAGGATATTCTAAAGCTTACTGAGGACCACATTGATAGCATCAATCCAGATCACATTACATACATTCCATCCTCTACATTTGAGGTTTGTTTTTAAACATTATTCCCCAAACAACAACTACAGATAGTGAACGCTTCGATAACTAATAAAGGAGATACAATGGATAAGCGTTGGTTCTTTAAAAAAAGATACCATGGACCCAGTAAATAATAAGCCTAAATTCACAGCAACGATTTAAATATATCAGAGTTCGCATTGTTTTTCTACGCTGTGTCAAATGTTTCATATTGTTGTGACTAAATCAAATTGATAGATGGCAAACAAAGTTTGACAGCAAACTTAACCAGAGAGGTTGCAAATGTCATGAAAAACTCTTCAATTCATGAGGAATAAAATAAAATTACCAATAAATTGTATTACTTGTATTACTATAGATACTTATCATAATATTTTTTTATCTTCACATCTTACAGAAATTTTCTAAAGAACAACTAGGATTTTTCTCTTCAAACCAAGCCCAGTCTACAACGACCTCTCAGTTAGAAGCTTTAAACCCTGACCAATATTCTGTTCTACAACGTATTGCATCAACAGTTGATGCTGACATTAAAACATCTCAGAATCAAGGTGGAAGCAATTATGCCGGCAGTTTCGGTAAGTTCCGACGTTAATGTGTATTTTGTCTTACCTGTCGCTAATCAACAAATAATTTAGTATTTATGTTAATAATTTTTCCATGTTACTAGTAATACTAGTTAATTATGATACATAATTGTTTGAAATTGAAAAGATCACCACAATCTTTTTAAGATTTATCGTGTAATAATCTTGAAACTTAGTATTTTTTCAATAATAGACAACATGGACTACTAAAAAAGCAAATTTAATTAATCAATAGAACAAAATAAAAGAGAAACTAAAAGTTGACATACGACAACTCATAGGAAAATAAGGAGATACATCATGTGCTCAGAAAAGGTTTTTTAATTGTTCAACCGTTTTATTTACCACGAGCTCATATCGAGTAAAAAGTCCAAGTTTGAGACTATCTTCAAGCTAAATAAATACCATTACTGCAGAGGATTGTGTACGTCTTTGAGTATATGTCGATTTTTTTTCTTTTCTTCAATTATCATATTCCTTCCAAAGAAATCGATCAATACTCAACATGACTAAACCTATTTGTAGCTATTGTATTTGTTTAGCTGAAAGAAGTCTCATAGGCGAAGGAACCTGGGTTATATGTTATATTTGCTCCGTAAAAGAGTCCCCTCATTTAACAAACGCTCAAGGGTTACAAATAACTGCCATGTATTACTATCAAATATATCATAAGTACTATGGCGATTGTTGCGTACAGGTACTAACTTGTGGCAACTGGTGAGTTTTATTTTAACTTTACAAGGAGCTGCTTTAAACAAATCATGGTTTAATACAAAAATTCAAGTAAGTTTATGACTGAATCTTTGAAGTAATCTGTCTCATCAGAGCAATATTGCGTTCAGCATCTGTAAACCTTTTTACTAGTTTTAAGTGAAATTAAATTCAATTTTCCAGTTGCCAAATTATTAGTTGAAATGTGCGTTATTACTCAGTATAAATCTTTATGTTGTACAGTACTACAAACCATGATAAGATATTGTAAATAGTTATGAATGTACGGTATATATTAGCATATGTGAATATTATATATGCATTACTTCATATAAGTTTTTGTTTATGCAAGGTAAAGGTAACTATTCGGAAAGACTGTCATCAAGTTGGATAGCTACAGTGATATTGGTTTGTTCTGGGATCCTACTGTCTATTTAAATGAAAGCAGTAACCAGACATTTTTCTGATGTTGAATGAACACCGACCTTCGATATGGAAATGGACTATGATTATAAATTTTCTTCTTAAACTTTTCAGAAAGTTAGAAAATAAAAATCCTAGACTTATTACAAGACTGTCATGTTATGCACAAAAATAATTGACTTACCCATATTTTGAAAAAAACTTTCTGTGGTCATATCATGTTTTCAAGTTAGGAAATGCAGAAATGAATCTGAAAAATAAATACTAAATATAATCTACTCAAGATGATCTTCTATTTATCTAAGACTTAAAAAAGATTGTAGTCAAGGAGATTTCTTCAATCTCTGAATGTACTGAAAGTTTGACAATCAAAGATTGTGAGACCTTGGTAAAGGTCGTTCAATTACTGACTAGTTGGAAACAACAATTTGACTGATTTAGGTAGATCTTCGGATTACTTTGATAGTCACAAGTGAATTAATTTTCTTCTTTTGTCTTTCTGAAATGTTTAAAAAGTAGTTTTTTATTGATTTTATTATTGTGAGTTGAATATAAAGTCAATTAATTGAAAACCAAGCAGTTTTTTACCGTTGACAAAATGAAAATGGAAGTTTCCTCCATTCTCCAAATAATACTAGGTTTTCAATCAATATATAGTGTTTTCATTGTTTTCCAAAAGTGTAGTATTTTTGTGCAAATAAATGTGTCAAATGATTATTGTGAAACCTGTGACTTCATTGTTTTCAAATTGGCTTCACAATAAGGTTGTCATGATATAATTTTGCGTTTAACAAAACAACTGTTTTTAAAAATCCTTCCACGGTAGATGGAAATTATTATCGTTTTGCAAATGATAAAATTAAAAAAACAATTTTGCAAAGGATAGTTCACATGCTTTGCTTGATTTTTAATTCCTACATTAGAATTAAAAACATTAATTCTCAAATGCGTTGGCTGTAAGTTAAATGTTCTCTTTCTCTCTCTCTCTTACTCATATTTTCAAATGCCTAGGAAGACATTAGACGTTTAACTGAATTAACTTATAATAATCTTTAAAAATCAATGTTAGTCCATTGTTTGTGCTCTAGGTATGAAGATGTGTGCTGTCTGATAGATCAAATGGTGACAGTACAATCTAATAGTTGAGATACACTTCAATGGAACGATTTTTTATGAATGGCAACATCAACCTTCTTAAAACTATTTTGATTTACAGAAGATTTGTTACAAGGTAATTTACGCGAGGCCTTCGGTTGAATATCTTAATTTATGCTTTGTTTTGTCATCAAAATAACATGGTGTGGTATGATTACCAACAGAGTTCAAATGACGTGGATGTAAGCAATTGTATGTCGTTATATGATGTTTATTTCATAATGATGACCAAAAACTGCATATTTTTACCCACCCGATACATATAAACGTGAATAGGCTAGTTTATACGTAAAACAAAATATCAACAAAAAATGAAATTCAAAGGAAAACAAAATTTATTCAATCATGCGGTCATCACGTACATGAAAATTTACCAAAATTTTACTGTGAATTCACTAAAGTATTTATTTAACATAAAAATTCCTATGTTATGCTTTCAAACATTCTACATTTTTGCTCTTCGAAACTTTTGTTTTCGATTAGAACATAAGCGAAACAAGACTGAATTAAGATTTGAATTTTGTTTAAAAAAAGAGTATACATCTTTGTTGTGATTTTCATTGACCGAAAGTAAGAGAGATGAATGTTATAATTATATTTAAGGCCGGTTGGTTAATTGTACGTTGAATGCAGACGTTAAATATCTATGTACAGTGAAGGCTGATGTTAAGTCTCTTTGAATATTTGATTATATAAGATTGTTTGACATGGTAAATAGGGATCAGGAGAATAAAAAGAGACAAAAGAAAAGCAGAAATAATATGTGACAATGGATGAAAGCAGAGGGAGAAAAAAGAGAAATGAATGCATATAGAGAAGAGACTATGGTGTGCATTGGTGAGAAGAATGAAAGGTCGTCTTTGAATAATGTCCTACTGCAGATTTGTTCAGATGTATATTTAGTAGTTTATTGTTGATTAATAAAACGTTTGCATTGCAATAATGTGTTTTTTATAATTATTCAGTAGCACAGCTTCTAGTTTTAGTTCTAATGACACAAACACTGATTTTATCTAGACTGTAACAACTAAATGAAGCAAACTGTTCATCAGCTAATTACAAACGGAAAAGGATTCGTGTATAGCAACACAGGATCAAAGGCCATAAACCGTTTCAAGTTTTTTTTCTTTTTTTAAGGAGGGGGTTCATGTATTCGAAACATTAAATTGAATATATTAAATGACAGGCAATTACAGTGATTTACCGATGTTCAAAACTCGTCAATCCCTTTGGAATATAGTAACCAACTAATTAAGAGTAAAACCGAACGGTGTCGCACAAATTCAAAAAGATGATGATCATAGATGGCTGCTTTACGTCCAGTGTCAAATTAATATGCATATTCAGGACAAGAACATTTTAATGTAATATTTACCCTGCTTTGTACTAGACCGACACGCTGAGCCGGATTTTTAACATGCTAGTTCACAAGGTAACAGTCCGCAGGAAGACATGTCACCTTACCCGGACACATCATTCTGACTCCGAGCCGACCAGTCTTTGCTATTACTCCTTATTGCCGCGTGCTTAGCGGAGAAGCATCAAATATCAATTTGAAAGTCTTTGGTTTGACCCGGCGGGTTTCGAACCCACGACCTCCCGCACTCGAGGCGAACACGCTACCACGAGACCACCGAGGCGGTCAAATTCAAAAAGGAGCGCTAGCGTGACTGTGTGCATCATTACAGAAGTCCGTGTACGTGTTCATACCACTGATCACACATAAGGCCATTGATTGTGCAATACACAACATTTACTTGTCTCTTTAGTTCCTGCTAACTGCATGATAAATAATTTTATTTATAGTTGAACGACAACAGCAGAGACCGTGCTGATACTAAATATATTTGGTATTATATCTGTCTCTAATTACATTATCAAACAGTTTTTTTATGTTGGAATTAGTGATCTATATGTACGGGGAGTTTTTTTACCGATCAGTATAATTCTTTTCATCGGTTGTCTAAAGTTATTCAAACACTGTTCATTTTCTATAAACTTAAGATGCCTACTGTTTGAACTAGATAGTAGCAGGGCACCCAATCAACGACTTTGATCGATTTGAGTCAACAGAATAACACACGACAGTATACTTTATATCATTGGAAAAAGGAGAATAAGCAT